GGTCAGTGTGCGAGCCCTTGTTGCAAGCCACAATGCCTTGGCCTACTGCAGCAATGACGGTTTATTATGAAACCAAGTGTCTAGAACAGGGATGTCAAACTCAATTTCATTGAGAGCCGCATCAACATTGTGGTTGCCCTCGGGGGGGGGGAGGGTGTGTGTGGCCAGGGTGAGTGCGGCCTACTGGGTGGGCATGGACAGAGTGGGTGTGGCCTAATGGGTGGGTGTGGCCAGCTCTACATCGTTCGCATCAAGAGTGCCTGTGGGGGCCTGGGCAGGAGTGGGACAGATCTGAGGGTTTCTGGCAGAAGGGGGTGGGACCGGGGCAAGTGCCAAGGCATGGTCCACTGGAAGAGCCTCACTGTTCCTCTCAGGCCATGCGTGGGGGGCTGGATGGTGGCCCGGGCTGCCTGGAGCCCTGGGCAGCAGAGTTCAAATGCCCAGCCTGGCCCTTGGGCACCTGCAGCACCAAGCTGTTTCCAGATGGCCTTGTGGAGCTAAGACTGAATGTGTTTCAGCCTAGATGGCCACCACAAAATTGTACATTGGCTCCTGGCCGGCCTGGGCCAGGGCCAAGGCAGCGGGGGCCGTTCCCTCACTGTTTCCAGGATGGCTTCATGGGCCACATGAAACCTTGTGTTTGACATGTCTGGTCTAGAATATTGAGACATATCAAGATTTGTGACTGTATTTGATATCCTCCGCTGTGCGACCACTCAGCAGAAAGTATGACGCAATTGTTCTTATTGGAACAGCAGCAGGGAAACTGTGCTGGGAATCTGAGAAAAGTGGTTAGTTTGTCGGAGAGACAAAGAAAAAGGTGGTTTTGTGCGTTTGGAAAAAAAAAAAGTAGCTGAGTTAAAATTAATCTGAATGGAACAGACTCAAGAAATTGTAGTGGTTACTGTAAAATTCAACCAGTCCAAAAGTATGTCTTTCGCCCACTCGCACACCATCACACCCTGGGAAAAAGATTTCTCCTCTGCCTCTTGGCTCCTTTTCATCTACTACCCAGAGGTGAGGCAGCCTTAAATTCTTTTTTTTTTATTATTTTTTTTTATTGAAAATTTTTACAGTTTTACAATAAAATAATCCCCCTCTCCCACCCACCCCCTTCCCCGCATACCCTCCCCCCTCCTTCCCAGAGCTGAATACAGGGTTAATAAAAACTAAAAAAAAACCCTTACAACTTAAATAAACATCAAATAATTATAAATACATTTAAAAAAAAACAAAATTTTAAATACTTTAACTCCAATATATAAAAACAAAACAATTGTTCTAATCATTACCTTAAACATAAATTATTCAAAAGCTAAGTAATACTTTTTAATCTCATATTTGTGCTGTATAAAATTCACCCATCTTTTCCACACCAAAAAATATTTCTCTTGCGATTGATCTTTCAAATAAGCCGAAATTTTTGCCATTTCAGATAAATAAGAAACTTTAAGAAACCATTCTTCTAAAGTAGGCAAAAACTCCTTCTTCCAATATTGCCCTATCAGCAGCCTTGCCGCTGTAATTAAGTTCAACATTAAAATAATTTCTTTATCATCACAATCAACAATAATGCCTAACAAAAACAATTGTGGTATAAATTTTATCCTTCTATTAAAAATTCTTTGAATTTTTTGAATGTTCCACCAAATCTTAATCCAAACCTTAAATTCATCAGCTGTGTTATTTCCCTTCTTCCAGCCCTATGGTGTGGGTATTGAAAAAAGGGATGTTGTTGTGTGGGTCCTTTCCAACACAATGTGTGCAGCTAATTTCATGGGAGGGCTGTTTTCTGCCAAAGGAATGGCACTTTAACTCAACAGCAAAAGTTCTTAGAATGGCTGGACCTAACAAGGTGATGGCCCCAAAATGCTGCCTCTGTTTGCTTATGTGAAATGCCACTTCAAGAAGCAACTAAAAAACTAAAATTTCAGTAACTGTTGAGACTTCCAAGATAGAAAAGCCAGCCTCTGGAAGATTCTACTTAGGAACACCCCGTTTGGGGAACCATTCAAATATAAATCATCATCTGAAAGACAATATAAAGGCATTTTTTCTTCTTCTTCTTAAATAACAGCAACGCTGAACGTCGTCTTCACATTTCCCAGAGTCCAGCTGCTGTGTTAGAAATATTAACTGGCGGCAGCTAGATTAGTGATGGTTAAATACTGGAGACGGAATTGGGTTATTCAAAGAAACGAGTGGTATAATAAAATACGGAACATGGCAATAAATGATAAATTAACAACAGGAATTAAATTTTAAAAAAGGGACGATTAAAGCAAATAGTTATAATGCAATATGGGATGCTTTTATAAGAAAACAGTCTTGGTGGAAGGCAATGGGAATAAACCTGCTCAGGAATGTAGGCTGTTTTGGAGGGGATAAGGACACACAATTGAAATATATTGTATATTGTTAGTTGTTATGTGAGAAGAAATAGAGGTAATAAACACTGGTCTCCAGGGGCGTGGGTGCATTGTAGTGTTTGTATTTTTTTAATATTGTTTTTTATTTGGATGTGTATGTGTTGAATGATTTGTATTATTTACATGTGTTGCATTATTTGTATTTGAATAACATAAAATTTAAAAAAAAATATTAACGGGCAAAAATGGATGGGGTTATGTGGAGGGGCTGCGAACAAGGAAGAGAGAGATATTGATAAGCTGGTCACACCAAAGCTTATGTATAGAGCAGTGGTTCTCGAACCTTTTTAATGCCGCGACCCCCAACCGGTCGTAAGTCGAGGACTACTCAACCGGTCATAAGTCGAGGACTACTCAACTGGTGCAGCACCGTTTGCAGAAGGGGACTTTTGGCGGGCTCAGCAGGGCAGAGACAGCCTGGACAATTCCTATTGGCTTTTGAAAGCCAATAGAATTAGACTCTATTCAAGAGAGTCTATTCTATTGGCTTTCAAAAGCCAATAGAATAAAAGGGAGTAGCACAGCTAAGGAAAAGGGGGGAAAAAATGGCGGACTGCGTTGTTTGGCGACCCCCGTGAAATGGTCGTTCGACCCCAAATGGGGTCCTGACCCACAGGTTGAGAACCACTGGTATAGAGTAAGACACAATACGTAGTTAACCAAGTCAGCAGCCACTAATGGATGATGGCAACAGGTGACGGCTATGAGAAGTGCATGGGCCAGAACTGTTTCTGGATGAGTTGAGTTTCTTGATGAATAGGCTCCTTTTCTTGTTTGATTCATCAGTGTCTCTTTTATCGCTTCTTCCCCCTTGCATAAGAAGCCAAACGCAGAGATTCCGGGTTTCTCCTTTCAAATGTTCCTTTTTGCCTACTGTTGTTCCGTACGATAGGTCTTCTGCTCAGGAAGTTGAGCCAAGGAGAGCTTTAGGACTGGAGCCGGTCTTTGATAACCCGATTTCACCATTATTACTTTCACTTTCTCAATCTTCCATCAGCTCTGGCTGGAGTGCAGAGCAATTTTGGGGACGTGACCAAATTATTGTATTTTTTTTTTCAGCAAGGACAAAACCCTCCAGATGTTATCTGAACTAGGGCTTTCATGTGATAATGGCAGCTTTAATGTTCCCGGTGTTGAGCTTTAATCAGGGGGCAGGTGCTGTATGTTGATTTATATTTATTTATGGAATTCAAGAACCGTGGAAATCTATAACATGATTTGGAATTATGGCAGGAGTTGGGTCTCTTTTTCAATCAAAATGTATTTGTCATTCCAGCATAATTGGATATAAGTCATTCTTAAATTTTGACCTTTACTGTCAGGTTAAGCTACAAAGTATTATTCCCGTAGAATAATTCCCATTCAAAAATTGCAATTAAATCCCTTCATAAACTAATTAAGGGCCTTGATGCTTCGGATCACCTTATTGAAAGTCAAGTTTTCAGGAATTTGGCCTGTCTTAAAACTTTGAAATGGCAATAATTTAGTCAAAACTTCTGAGCACAATGCAACTTCCGAATTAGCTCTGCAAGATAATTAATAACTCCTGTATTAGCACTGAAAAGTATCTGGGATTATTCCAAATCTACAGTATTTTTTTTACAGATACCTTTAAGAGTATTGCTAAGGTGAACATTGGATCACTTCCATGCATTTTTGAATAAGCGTTGGAAAGCCCCATACAAACTAGTCTTAAGGAGCATTAAATATATCTTTTATGAATTTGAGATGAGATTAATTCCACATAAGCATACTTGTTTGCCTTGAAATGGGAGATGGCAAGCATATAAATAAGTAAGTAAGTAAGTTAGTAAGTACCCGCTGAGAATTGCCTCAAACTGCGGGATGGGTGGCATACAAATTAATAAACAAATAATGGAAACATTGGAGAATGATGGTGGACACAAACATAAAACAATGAAAGGGACACTCATCCATGGGATCTGGGCTTGTTTATTGCAGTCCTCATCTGGTTGAATATACATATATTTATTCACGTGGTTTGGGAAATGAGAAGAATAACAGGAGGCTGAATTATATATATTTACATTATTTGTGTTTGTATATAATATAGATAGATTTTGCCCCTTTTTTTCCTTTTTTAGTTTTTCTCTTTATTTGCATTGGCCATTATTTCCGCTTAATGTCTGCCTATTTTAAAACAACAAAGAATCTTTTCAAAAGGACATCCATTCTAACTCTTTTAGGTCAGGTTAAGGGGAGGGGCAGAGAACTGATCAGGACAAACATCCGGTCACCTTATTTTTAATTCAGGGATGAATTAAGTACACGTGATTATTATTTAGTTTTTAAGAACGTTTTTCTCTTTCTGTGACTTTAAAAATTACATATCAGTCACAAATGGGGAAGTGCCCCCCCGCAAGTCACTTTGCTTCCAAGCTGTTCAGTTTTTTTAAGTACCTGAGATTGAAAACAGCCACCACCAATGCGTGATGGTGGTGATACAAACTATTCACAAAATTGAGATTTAAGGTGTGTCCGCATCTCTGGACCACTCAGACTTTTTCTAAGAATTCTGAGCCACTTGCGTTGTCTGTATTTCTCACGAAGCAGGAAATGCCTCCTGCTGCAAAGATGACCTCATAAATGCCAGCAAGCAGAAGTCAGGAGAAAAGCCCCAGATTGGCAGCTGTCTACTCTAGGAGATGTTGAAAATCTGTCCTCAAAAGAAAGAGCAGCAGCAGAAGAAAAAAAGTGTCAGTGGCCTCGTATTGGCATCGAGAGCTCCCTGGGTAAGAAGCTACTTTATTTGATTAGCCGAATGGAGAAAACGTAATGAATTTAAACTTTTGCTTTTTCTTTCTCAGCTTGGCCTTGGTGTATGTGTGTGTGTGTATCTATCTATCTATCTATCTATCTATCTATCTATCTATCTATCTATCTATCTATCTTTGGTTATTCGAGTTTTCTCCCGTGTAAAATTGGAAGTGTCTTGGCGACGTTTTGACGAAGTCCCATTCGTCATCTTCAGGCTGGTGTTTTTGGCTTCATGCTTCATTGCTCCTAGAAGCATGAAGCCAAAAACACCAGCCTGAAGATGATGAATGGGACTTCATCGGAATGTCGCCAAGACACTTCCAATTTTACGCGGGAGAAAACCCGAATAACCAAAGACCTACATACAAACACCTGCGAAAACCTGTGTGTGTGTGTGTGTGTGTGTGTGTGTGTATACATACATACATACATACATACAAACCCTACAAAATAAGGCAACTGTACTATAGTTAAGAGGCAACTTCCTTCCACTGAAGCGAAGAGAATAATGGTATATAAAATCCAACTGATGCTGTGTGACACTCACGTTACAAATGTGTACGTGCTCCAGTTAAAATCCTGAGAGGTTGGAAAGTTGCAAACAGGGTACGAGTTGACGGAGGAAGACGTAAACTGGGTTTAAGGATTATCAATTGTATGAAATGTGCTGGAGAATAGGATGAGTTCGGTTAAGGAACCTTTGGGGGAGAAAGTTTACCCAGAGACACAACTAGCGCTAGTTATGGAGTAGTACAATTGTGCCGGTAACAAGCCGGGTTTCTAGTTCAGTTGACAGTTGATCTGCTCTTTGGTTTGGTTTGTGGGTTTGATGTTATCTGAATTTTAAGGCACCTTAAGCAAGAGAAGGCCCCATTCTTAGCAGCAAGGAACAGACCCTGGGGAACTATGGGAAATAAAATAAAATAAAAGGGGTGGGTTTATTGCTCTTTTTAGTGTCAACTGCTTTGGGATCTCAGCTAGAGTTGATCTCTAGCAGAGGTGTTATTATTTCCTCATTAGAAGCATGACTGAGCTATTGAGATGAAAGAAGATCTGGCTTTTTCACGCCAAGTATGTGAAAAATAATGTGACATAGGAGATAATGTTGGATCTTCAGATCTGACTCACAAATTTATTGGGTGATGTTGATCTGGTCACTATTTCATTATCAAAAGGCTGGCCAAGAAGTATCTCTATGGTCCTGTTGTCAATCACTGAAGCCTGCCGTTCAGTTTTTTTTAATAGAGACTAATATCATTTTGGTTGGCAATTGGATCCTAATTTGTCAGATTTATACTCTGCTTTTTCTCAAAGGAACTCAAAAGAGCAGGTGAGTTATAGTTCTTCAGAAAAACAACAACGCTGCAAGGCGGGTTGAATTGAAAAAGCGCCTAGTTTGCTTCCATTGCCAGTTGTGTTTTGAGTCTAACCTTCCCTGAGCCTTAATTCCAAGATCTGACACTCTCTAGGTGTCAGATTGTCAGTTGTTAATTGGTTTGGATTGACGTGCCTCCATTTTAAGTATTGAGCATTTGTGTTAAATCAAGGAAATCAGATCTCTTCACCTATTATCTAGTTAAATATAATGTACACCATTGTGGGCTCCTTCAAGGAGGAAGGCTACATATCAAAAAACAACAACATTGTTCTAATTTGTGCACATGTGTGCAATTGGACTTGTGCAAAAATTAAAACAGGATGGAATGGGGAAACGAGGATTTGCGACAAAAAGACCAACCCTATTCTCTTTCCATTGTAGGAAACGCCGTTGACTCAGTGAGTGGTGGAGCTGTGGGCCAAAGACAGCAGGACGCTTTGATTTTTGGGGGGGGGGGGAGAAATGCCACGCGTCAACTTCGCAAGGTGATTTTTTTTGAGGTTATTTTCGGTTTCCTGCAAAGCATTCCTAGGAGTGGCGTCTTAAGACACTCCACTTGAGATAGAGGACATGTTGGATTCGGTCAAGTGTGTCCTGGTAGGCGATGCTGCTGTGGGGAAGACGGCCCTGCTGCTGCGCTTTATTTCGGAGACTTTTCCGGATGCTTATCGGCCTACCGTTTACGAAAACACCGGCGTGGATGTCTTCCTGGATGGCAGCCAGATCAGCTTAGGCCTTTGGGATACCGCGGGCAGCGATTCCTTCAAGAGCATCCGCCCTCTTTCCTATCAACAGGCCGACGTGGTGTTGATGTGCTACTCGGTAGCCAATCACGGCTCGTTCCACAGCTTGAGGAACAAGTGGGTGACGGAGATCAGGACCCACTTGCCCCGCATCCCAATTTTGGTGGTGGCTACCCAGATCGACCAAAGGGACACAGGCCCTCACAGCACCACCTGCATCAGTCCGGTGCACGGCAAGCAACTGGCTAAGGACATCCGGGCGAAGGGGTACGTGGAGTGCTCCTCCCTAGCCAATCGGGGAGTTCAAAAGGTATTCGAGTGTGCCGTGCGGACGGCGGTGAATCAAGCCAAAAAAAGGTCGAGAAGAAACATTTTTTCGGTGAACGAATGCAAAGTCTTCTGAAACCGGACGGACCTCGGCATCGTTTTCTGCCTTTCGCCTCACCGAATGATTGCGTAGTGGAGTAAATACGAGCCTTCCGTTAGGCACTAAGATGGGCTATTCAACCTTGGCGTCTGGAACTCTCAAAGCAAGGCTGCGGGTTGGATTTCCAGTAGCAAACCTGGGGGAGTATGAGTAGCAAGCCGGAGCCTCGTTTATCTATCATTTATCATGATGGGAATGTTAAAAGAGTTTATTTGCTACTACAAGTTCTGTTGGATTCGTAAAAGGGGCTGCTTTCTACGCCTGAGATAATGGATGGATAATTTATATGGCAGACTTAATAGAAGCTTGGGAACTGAATAGGTCAGGAAGATGTGAAATAAACCAAGCCAATTAAATGTCTTTTTCCTCTAATGTATTGTGGAGATTGGTGTCTGCTAACAATTTTGAACATTCTGATACTGAGAACAATCTTTTCCACCTTTCACGTGTCAAGAGATCAGATTTCCTGGTGGGGAAAACTATAGATCCTACCAGATCATTTTAACTTGGTTTAATTTACACTTTATCTCATTCTGGAAGAATGCTGTATTATCCCGATAGTACTACTTTCAAGCTGCCAGTGTGAAAATAATATATATATTCTATATCCTCTGGGTTAAGACAAGAGATTTCTTCAGAATAGCTCTGGTGCTCCTAGTACAGGGGTAGGCAACCTTGGCTCTTTTATGACTCATGGACTTCAACTCCCAGAATTCCTGAGCCAGCCATGCTGAGGGAAAAGGGAGAGGTTTCCAAGCTGAGCCAGGCTGGCTCGGGAATTCTGGGAGTTGAAATCCACAAGTCTTAAAGTTGCCAAGGTTGTGGACCCCTAATATAGGGCAGGGGTGGAGAACCTTGCCTCTTTTATGACTGGTGGACTTCAACTCCCAGAATTCCTGAGCCAGCATGGCACACCTTTCCCCTCAGCGCGGCTGGCTCAGGAATTCTGGAAGTTGAAGTCCAGAAGTCATAAAAGAGCCAAGGTTGCCTACCCCTGTCCTAGTAGGATGTGGATGGAGACCCACAGACCGTTACTCCTATTTTTAATCACAAATCAACAGAATTAATAATGATGCTTGATGGTCTCTGAGCTTGGATGTTTTCTTACAGAAGTTTATTTATCAAACTAAGGCAGTGGTTCTCAACCTTTTTAATGCCGCGACCCCCAACCAGTCGTAAGTCCAGGACTACTCAACCGGTCGTAAGTCCAGGACTACTCAACTGGTGCAGCACCGTTTGCAGAATGGAACTTTTGGCGGGCTCAGCAGGGTAGAGACAGCCTGGACAGTTCCTATTTTTGAAAGCCAATAGAATTAGACTCTATTCAAGAGAGTCTCTTCTATTGGCTTTCAAAAGCCAATAGAATAAAAGGGAGTAGCACAGCTAAGGAAAAGGGGGGGAAAATGGCGGACTGCGTTGTTTGGCAACCCCCGTGAAATGGTCGTTCGATCCCAAATGGGGTCCTGACCCACAGGTTGAGAACTACTGAACTAAGGTAACATCATTGTCCCAAATGTGCTTTTTTTCAAGATGCAACTGGACTTTCTTGTGGGTTTTTTTTTTTTTTGAAGATGTTTCACTTCTCATCCAAGAAGCTTCTTCAGCTCTGACTGGACTCCTCTTTCAAGCCAGCGGTCCTCTCTGTCCAACATGTGGCCTTTGTCTTTTAAATGCAGATGCACTGCTGAATCTTGTCCTGGAGGCTTTGTTCGCCTCTCTTCCTTCCAAGGAATACAAATCCTTCCATTTCCCACAATCCAGTCAGAGCTGAAGCAGCTTCTTGGGTGCTTTTTCTTTTCTTTGAAAAACAAAACAAACGAGAAAGTCCAGTTGCCTCTTGAAAAAGCACCCTTGGGAGAAGCGGCATAGACATTTAGGTAACATCATCAGTGAAATGTTTTCTTCTATCAGAATTAATCATTATTAATAATTATTTGCATTGCATGCAAAGCTCTGCTTCTTGGTGGAAAGGTGGTGGACAAGGATGGAAGCTAAGCATACTTACCATTGCACAATTAAAACGGCAGGGTTCCTGGGGCTCTCTGAGCTTGGTGGTTTTCATAATAACAACAATAAAAGTTGGAAGGGACCTTGGAGGTCATCTAGTCCAACCCCCAGCTCAGGCAGGAAACCCTATAGTATACTATTTTGGACAAATGGCTGTCCAGTCTGCTCTTAAAAACTTCCAGCGTTGGAGCATTCACCGCTTCTGGAGGCAGGTTGTTCCACTGGTTAATTTTTCCCACTATCAGGAAGTTTCTCCTTAGTTCCAGGTTGCTTCTCTCCTGGGTTAGTTTCCATCCGTTGCTTCTTGTCCTGCCTTCAAGGGATTTGCAGAATAGCTTGACTCCCTCTTCTTTGGGGCAGCCCTTGAGATATTGGAAGGCTGCTATCGTGTCACCCCCCCCTCGTCCTTCTCTTCATTAAATTAGACTTAGCCAATTCCAGCAGCCATTCCTTATATGTTTTAACCTCCAGTCCCCTGATCATCTTTGTTGCTCTTCTCTGCACTCTTTCTAGAGACTCAACATCTTTTTTACATTGTGGTGACCAGTATTCCAAGTGTGGCTTTACCAAGGCATTGTAAAGTAGTATTAATACTTCATGTGATCTGAGGATTAGCAGAAGAGGGCGAAAATTGTGTTTAGAGAAGGGCAGAAGTTCCAGCAACCGTTCCTTTAATAATAATAATAATAATAATAATAATAATAATAATAATAATAATAGTAGTAGTAGTAGTAGTAGTAGTAGTAGTAGTAGTAGTAGTAGTAGTAGTAGTAATAGGCTCCTTGGGTGCAATCGCAAAACAACTGGAGCACCACTTGGACACCATCATTGGCATTGACAAATTCGCTATTAGTCAATTGCAAAAGGCGGCCTTATTAGGAACTGCTTCCATCCTGTGACGATATCTGTAATACCATCAAACATCCACATCTGCCTATCCCAGGTCCTGGGTAAGGACTCGATAGGTAGACAAAATGCCAAATCCAGTCTGAACATCTGGCTGACTGTGCGATGATCCATAACAACAACAACTTGGAAGGGACCTTGGAGGTCATCTAGTCCAACCTCCTGCTCAGGCAGGAAACCTTACACCATTTCAGACAAATGGTCATCCAATCTCTTCTTTAAAACTTCTAGTGTTGGAGCATTCACCGCTTCTGGAGGCAGACGTGTCATGTCCCAGCTCAGTTCAGCTCTGAGTTGCAAATATTCTCATCTATTTGATAATGAAACATCTGCAAGAAAACAACCAAGCTCAGAAAGCACCAAGTATGGTAGTCCTGTGGGTTTCTCTTTCAGACCCAGAGGACTACTAGGCTTATGGGCCTTTGATAATTTGGTATGAGGACCTTAATGAACAGGAGGTATTTTCTTATCATGAAAGGAAATGTCTGCAGGTCAAGCTGTTCTTCAAGGCATAGGAGGGATCTTTTTGTCTCTGAAGCCCTACTATATCCTCTGCAAGGTTGGAGCTGTTCTGTGATCCTGCAGACTCTCTTATCTTCCATCGTTTTTTTTGTTTCTTTTTACCTATCTGAATTAGCATCATGCATGACAAAGGAAGAAAGCAGGGAACAGTTTGAGTTGCTCAAGTCCCTGAGAACTCTTTCAAAAATTTATTTTGAACTATCTGTTTGTGGTTTCAGTTCAACTACTGGCAATTATTTTGACAAGTTGATTTGTTTTTTAATTTTAAAGAGCTGGTTAACTGGCTGTTCTCAAGGGACAGGGGTTGGGTAGGCTGAATGGAAACTGCCTCCCATTTTAAACTGTTCTGTCAAGTCTGTGCTTAAATTAGGAACCATTGATGTAGATGCTAACAAAAACCTATGTCATTTCCTATAAAAAAAAAAGTAGAAGTTTAAGCTGTCTAAAATAGCACATGCATTTTAATTGGTCAGGGAGTACACAGGTTGGGCATTAGTCTTTTTCCCCCCAGAACTACTGATTATTTCTAAGTAAACACTAAAACAGCGCGTTCTCTGTTTTAACACACATACAGTATGTTCCTAAACTATAGGTCTGCTGAAACTGGGTAACTTCTTGTAGTAAAATGTTATGTGCAACATAATCAAGATCACGTGAAGTGTTAATACCACTCTTCAATGCCTTGGTAAGGCCACACTTGGAATATGGCACCCAGTTTTGGTCACCGCGATGTAAAAAAGATTTTGAGACTCTAGAAGGAGTGCAGAGAAGATCAACAAAGATGATTAGGGGACTGGAGGCTAAAGCATATAAGGCAGTGGTGGCGAACCTATGGCACGTGTGCCAGAGGCGGCACTCGGAGCCCTCTCTATGGGCACACGCACCGTCGCCCCAGCTCTGCCTCCTCCCAGGGCCCCCTCCTCACCAGCAATCCTCCAGAGGAGAGTTGCCCCCGGGCACGGCCCACACAATGCTGTGCAGCCAAGAACATAGTAGCTGGGCAGCGGGGACAAGACTCTGCTCTTGCACCCCATTGCACGCAGATAATGCTGCAGGGCACGGGCGGAGGATGTGGCCACTATGGCACTGCTGGGCTGCCTGGATGATCTGTGGTGGGCCGTGCAGGTGGTGGGTGGTCCAGTGGGCACAGCGGAGCGGGGACAGGTGTGGGGGGATGGTTTTGGGGCACTCAGTCTCTAAAAGGTTCGCCATCACTGATATAAGGAAAGGCTGCTGGAATTGGGGATGTCTAGTTTAATGAAAAGAAGGAGGAGGGGGGACACGAGAGCAGTCTTCCAATATCTCAGGGGCTGCCCCAAAGAAGAGGGAGTCAAGCTATTCTCCAAAGCGCCTGAAGGCAGGACAAGAAGCAACGAAGGGGAGAGGAATGGGGCTGGGATGCAATTCTTTTTTAAAAATAAGGAGTCCGTGAAGTAATTAACCATGTGCTGTGTTTTTTATGTTTGAAAACCTGACAGTCGTCATTTACTCATTGGCAGGTTTGACTTGTCAGCTGGGAGGCATTTCCAGAGCCAATTGCTCGCAACATATGCAAGGAAATAAAAAATAAATAAAAACACAAGAGACAGGAAGACTCTCGACTCACTGAACAGCAAATATCAAAAGTACCAGGCCAGTCTTTAAGGAGGCAAATGGGCTCCTCTACTTCTCCACATTATTCCAGTCTTCACTTCTTACTGGAATATATTGGTGAAGTATCTAGGCCAGGGCTTTACAACCTTTTCACCTATTGTACCACTTTTAAGATATGGCAACATCCGAGGACCACCAGTCGCCTAGCAAGGTGTCAAAAACTTGATGACCAAAAAAAAAAAAAGGAAAAAAGTAATAAAGTACAGGTAGTCCTCGACTTACAACAGTTCGCTTAGTGACTCTTCGAAGTTACAATGGCACTGAAAAAAGTGCCCCCCGAGCCA